CCAACCAAGCGTAACAGTATCTTCGGTACTCTCCAATCTAGATTCTCTCACAAGAAGCCTGAGCCTGAAGCTGTTTCCCCAGTTATTGCTCCAAAGGATGAGGAGCCAGTTTCTGAGAATGCCCCAGTTATCCCAGCTGTTGATACCACTGAGCCATTGAACACCAATGTTGAGGCTGCTCCAGCACCAGTTGAGACCACCGAGTCACCAGTCACCAATGGTGAGACCCCCAAGGCTGCTGAAACTCCAATCACCAAGGCCGATAAGCGCAAGAGCTCCCTTCCATGGTTGAACAAGAAGGATAAGTCTGCCGCCACCAGTGACGAGGAGACTGAGAAGCCAAAGTCACCTTTCGCCAAGCTCCGTGCTACCGTCAAGTCCAAGTCATCTCCAAAGGCTGACAAGACCGCTGAGAAGCCACTTGAGCCAACTGCCGAGACCAAGGCTGAGGATAAGATCGCCGAAGAGACCGCCGCCACTGAAGATGCCCCAGCTGTCACTGAGCCAGTCGTCACTGAGCCAGTTGTTGCTGCTCCAGCTAGCACCACTCCTCAAGTTTCTGCTACCGCATGAAGCAACTCACATCATTAAAGTTGCATAGCATCTTCGTAATGATTTCTTATTGTTGTCGTCGGGAAAACGGATCTCCTTGAAATACCCCCAAGATTGATTGATACCACTCTCATTTTTGCAGTACTCTTTGTCCATCTTCATTTTCTTACGCGTCTGTTATGTTTTGGTCTGCCTGCGCTTGCGATTTCTGCTGCGTATTGATACCCCCTATACCCAGACTGTCTTTTCGCAATCTGCCACTAGGGCAAACCAACTTCAACCTTAATACTTAATACAAAGTTTCTTGATGTCTTATGAATATTTTATTTTTATGTGGATGATTTGAATGTGAATTCTGTGAATGATGAAGATTAACTTTTGTGGTAAGAAATTCTCAATTAGTCTTGTTGTACGTTGGTATAAGGTTACAATATTTAGTTAACTCCACCACTATCTGCGGGCACTATGAGGACACTTTACAGTAGTGGTTGGGTCCGTCGTGAGGTTAATTTTCAGGGTATCGAAGTTTGGGAATTTTGGTGGGGTTGGGGCTGGATGTTGACTAACTATCCTGACTATGGATGTGGGGGGTTTGGTTAGCAACATTGCAGCCACAGCGGTGTTTGTTTAGATTCCGGATTTCCGAATTTTTCTTGGTGGGTTGAGATGGGTTGGAATGGGATGGAATGGGATGGAATGGGATAAGGGGATTAGATGGGGAGGGGGTTTGGAGGTTTGGAGGTTTGGATGGATAGTGAGAGAGAGAATAGGGTGATGAGTGAAAGATGTGTAATATGAGTAGGAGGTATGGGTAGGAGGTATGGGTAGGAGGTATGGGTAGGAGGTATGGGTAGGAGGTATGGGTAGGAGGTATGGGTAGGAGGTATGGGTAGGAGGTATGGGTAGGGTTAGAGTTAGAGTTAGAGTTAGAGTTTCTGGGGAGGAGGATGATGGTATTCATGATATTCATGATATTCATGATATTCATACTGTGGATTACGGGATGGAAGTGAAGAGTTGGGTCGGAGAGTTATGTGATGTTTGTTGTTGGGTAAGACTGGACTGGGCGTTTGCTGGGGGCTCGAAAGTGGTGGGTTATGTATGGAGATTCGTTGGATTGTGTTTTTTGAGGTTGTTTTTTGAGGTTGTTTTTTGAGGTTGTTTTTTGAGGTTGTTTGGTATGGTATGGTAAGGAAAGGAGTGGGAAAACAAATCTAACGATATAGCGAGGAGAGATACTCTTGGGAGGGGGCAATAGAAGGTTTGAGGACTTCGTCGCTCATTTGAAAGAGGTTCAGTATGTTGGGACTGAAGTGGGAGATTATCGATTCCCTTTTTCAAATTGTAGGTAGGTAGGTATGTATTTTTTGTATTTTTTTTGCTGAGTGCCGCTTGTCACAGTATCGACTTTGTTTAAGTCGCGACTCATGTGTATATGTATACTTTGGAATATTTCTCACAGTTGAGCGGAATATCTAGTAGGTTTGTAATCCTGCTAGATGGATAAGAAATCATAAGACGGTGAGTGACAGGGTTTCTAGAGCACATACTCGAAAGAGACGGTGTGGTATAAGTAGATGGAGGAAAAGAAGGGAATGGGTAAGATCTATAATTGAGAATTGAGAATCATATACGATGACAGAAGAAATAGAGGGTGTGTGCACTAGGTATGTAAAATGATGGTATGATGTAAGATCTTACATTCGGCAAAATAAAGGAGGGAAATGGAAAGTGACTTTCTACTACAAGATCAAAGTGCATATACCTATAGAATATCACATTCCTTTCTATCGAGTGAGATGAATCAGAAGCAGAATTTTTGCTCCGGTGGAATTTCGTTGTGTGTATTCTGGATCTGGTCTGCTTCTTTGGGAGTGTGGGAAATGGTTGATTTATACCTAAAGTTTATGTTCAGATTTTTGGAATGCTGGAATTATCACCCGGGTTGTCTTCACTGATTGTGAAAGTCATGTGTCTTATTTGTAGATAGATGGATTATATAAGAGGTCTCAGCTGAGGAGGAATCTTTTTCTGTAATAGATTTACTGCAGAAAAATGCTTGGATTTATAATTATCGAGGATTCGTGTAAGGGGAGAGTGTGATCTATGGCTCAAAGTGTGTATAGGGGATGATCCATATATGTGTAGTTTATATTTAGCTGTGGGCAAAAGTTTGAGTGGTATCAAACTGATTTATGGGTAAAGAGACAGCGACAGTCTGGTTTTGATGATGGGAGAAACATGGGTAGTAAGCTAACCTACGTCTCTTGATGGCAGTAAGAAATTAGTATAGATGATGATACTGATCTCTACGATATAATTAAGTTCATGAGTATAACACAGGAAGCTTGAATACTCCCCTCTCCTACTCCCTTATGATGAATGGAATTCCGCGTGTCAGTGTATTCTGTGACACTATTCTATTAACAACCCGGTTCCTTATATATCTAATGATTTCTTAGGGAAAAAAATGTTCAGCATACTCCATTTGTTTCTTGCCTTCTATTAGGGTGTGAAGTATTCACTCCAAGCTGGCATCCATCAAGCGGATACTGTGCAAATTTCACACTATAAAAGAACCCTAATAACATTCATCATTAATCCATATACTTCTCCGCGAGATAACTGGAATAGAACCTTTATTGGACATCATATTCTCACAAATATATCAAGAACATTCCATCGGATAGCATTCTCAATAGATTTACTCCATCGCTAGCACTGTAATCATCGCGCATCATGAAGATATATCACTTGCAATTGACAGCAAAAAATGAGAATGACAACGTCGATGATACTGTCAAATGACTTGCAGAATAAGCGAATATGGACATAGAAAACTGATCTTATTAGTAGGTAGGTAGGTATATCTTTAACAAGCGCACGATCGAATCACCGACGTCTTTCACTCCTTGAGCAGGCTCCACGCCTGTAGTGACTCCTTTCTACTCCTGTTCAAATGATTCTGAGATCTTTATATACCCACCATGCAAATTCCAGAGCTCAAGGATTCACTTACCTTTTGTTCCATCCCTGATCAGCTAATCAATCAAATGAACTTAGATACCCGAATCCTGGATATATAAACTCCCCCTTTCCCAGAAATTTCAAATACATTCAAGCATGCTGATTTTGGATTCATTACCTGCCGTACATGTTTCGAGGACTCATGAGATCTGCCTCTCAATCTTGTCGGGCTTGTAGTTTGTAGAGGAAATGTGACAAATGTTGGATCTGGATGGACGAAGAGAACTGGGATAGAAATAGGGATAGGGATATAGATTCAACAATACCTTTATGTAATTTGACAACAAGTACGGGTATAACCTACATGGAAAGATGGGAACAAGAGAAATAATACCTTAAGAATCAACAACGATATCCATCTATCAACAACAACATTCAAAATTTCCAACATCTCCATTCCCATCCTGAATATCCCTACAAATGGAACACCATTCCGAAAAAGAATCTTAAGGGTGGTGAGTATCTAGTCATCCACATCACTTGACTTTTGTTCAGAATCTTCTGCTGCGTTGAATGAGGAATGAAGATACTATACCAGTTGCGTTTATATACCCAGGTACCTACCTACCTACCTACCTCTAGGTAGCTCTTCCGAGTGAATATCCCAATCCACAAATCAGAGCATAATCAATGAACGAATGGGACTTCCAGGATCAACATGACTATATGGCAGGAACAAAGAAAGGATTACTTCCCCTCTCACATACAGAAAGTTTGCATTCACTGTAATATAAGTGAGCAAAACTCTTCAATCCCGAGAAATCAACCAATTACTTAGATAAATACCTATATAAGCTCCCTTTCTCTCGTGGAGATTTATATTTCAGAATATCTATCTATCTGTCGCAGACCGAGAGAGACAGACAAGGGGGGCTGTGATTTGATTAACAGATTAACCTTATGAGGCGCGGGAATTTTTCCACGGCTTTGGGGATTATGATACTGGGGTTACGGGAGTTATTTTTCTTTTCACTGGCATTTACGTGTTGTCATTTAGATGATCGTGCTCAATCGAACGATTGAGGGATGACAACAAAATTGAGCTGCTGAAATTGAGAGGATATTTGTTGATTGTGTAGATTTTGGCAGTTGATCGATTTGCGCTTCCCATAACAAATGAGACCACTTCAAACAAGTATAGCTCGATCCATACATCCTTCACTGGAAAGCTGTCCCATTTATTCTACTATTGTTAGAAAAAATCGAAAAAACATGCTTACTTATATTTTCGTCCTCACTGCCCATCTCGCTTGAGCTTCTTCAATACTGTAGTGGTTTGATATTAGTATCATATTATTTCTAGATTATAGACTTTACAAACAATTTATCCATATAATAACCTAGTTTAAATTCCTCTGTATCCTCATTCCATTCAATCACCACACCCCCCTCTCTCAGCCACCAAATCCCCAACTCAATCCTCACAACTGATACCTAAACCCTCTATCCACCTCTCCCCCCTCTACCGTCCCCTTCCCCTCTTCAATCCTCCTGTTCAACCACTGATACGCAAACCTCATCGCCACCATAACACTAATCGCCATGGCCGCCATAATAAACAGCACCTTAAACCCATTATGATAATACGGCTTATCACTCGCCTGGAAAATATGACTCGCCGGCACGGCGCTCAGATTCGTCATCGCCATGTAGAGCGCGACGGCGATGGCGCGTCGTCGAGGGGTAGGTTGGTTTGCGTTGAGCCAGGCGACGTTGAGGGGATGCCAGGAGGGAGAGCCGCCGGTGAAGACGAGGAAGGCGTAGAAGGTCCAGTTGCTTTTTGTGTGGGGGAGTGTCTGGGAGGGGAGGAGTGTTAGTTTGGTGGTTCGTGTGAGATGGCTGATGGATCTGGGCATGGTATGCAGTGGAACTTACATCGAGAACGATCAAACCGATCAGTAACCATACTGCGGCAAACATGATCGGTATACTTCTTGAATTCACTTTATCACTCCACCACGATAGCGTAAATGTAGTGATAATCAAAAGAGCACTATTCGGCATAACCAACAAATTCGAATTGAAAGTTCCGAATCCAAAACTTTTAATGATGGATGGGGAATATGTTCCAATGGGAGGAGAATATTCTAATCCGAGCAACGCCATCGAACAATGCGCCCAAACTTTCCAATCGGTAAGAACGGAAACCACGATTTGGAATTGAGAGAGATGGGAATCCCGAGGATCGGTATTGTATGGGTTATCGCGTACGAGTCGTCCTAGGAGAATTTCGGATTCGCGAGGGGTGAAGGATGAGAGGGGAAGTTTGATGATGGAGTTTCCGCGGCTGGGATCACGGGGTAGGAGAAAAAGTGTTGCGATTCCTACGGTGAGAGTGGCGAGTCCATCTAATGAATAATTAGAAAATGTGCATGGTGAGGAAGTGAAGACATCACATACCAATAAGAAAAAGCCATTGCCATCCTGTCAAGCCTGCTCTTCCACGAAGTCGCAACAAACCGTATGCAATGAGACCATTGAGTAGATTCGCCGTGTAGCTACCAATGAAGAACAAAACAGTTCTCTTTCCCAATTCACGTTTGGTATACCATTTGGTGAGATACCATAACGTGCCGGGAATAAATCCAGATTCACATAGACCAAGCAAGAAACGTGTTGCTAGGAAACCAGATTTGTTCTTGATAAAAGCTTGGAAAGTAGCTACGAGACCCCAGGCGAGAAGTTGACATGGCAGCCAGATATCAGCACCAACCTATTGAAGATTAATACGAGGATTTGAGAGGAAGCGGTAAAGTATAAACCTTTTGAATCATCAGATTCGCGGGAATGTCTCCGATGCATATACCGACGTAGACAAGACTATTTCCTGTATTGACGATTTCTTGATTCATGGAAAGATCCTTCATCATATTATCTGTCAGAGCATTTGAAATATTGCCTCTGTGTATTACGTTAACATTTCTGTATTTAAGAATTGATGGTTCTGAGTATACCTATCCAAGTTCAAAGTGAAGAACATAATCATGACCAAAGGAATCAGATAGAAATCCAATCGCCTTAGGATCTGTTTCTCTTCACCTTCGTGCCATTCAACTGCTAAAAGTCGTTTATTGAGCTCTGAATTGCTCTTCTCCGTGGGGTCCTCATCAACACTATCAACCCGAGCTGTGATATCGTTTGTCGGCCCCATCGTCTATGATACTTTGGATGTAAGTTTCCAATCGATCTTGAAACTATACTCTGACTTCTAAGTACTTGCCAGTGTTCCGCCGATCAACTGGTCGACCGCAGTCTTTTCAAGCTTTTCAAGCTTTATCTTATCTCAACACAAGCATCGCACGTTTTGTGATTAACACATGGGAGTATCTAAAAAGTCCCTAATCGGCGCCAAACGAAAGGCGTGCTTCGGAGACGGTTTTATGTCACTTTGGTTATCCAAGCCAATCAATTAAGGCTGGAAATATCGAAGGTCTGGATGTGGTAGCGATGCAGAGACACAAGCGAGATGTTGCGAATCTCACCCCTGACATGGCGTCTTTTAAAAATGCAGACCTCGTTGATTTTAACACTTGATTGCTGGATTAATTTATTGTGTCAATAAATTGGTTTATCGTGCCTTATTATATTCCTAATCTTTCATACCCTTTCGGTATCGGTATATTGAATAGCGATAGCTTGTGGTAAGATTAACGGAATCTCTCCGAGTCGTCAATTTCTTAACATTTGTTCCATTATTTTTGACCTCAACTGACTTCAATCTAAAGAATTTCTTTTTGAACATTTTTACTTTTCTGACTTCGAAAAAGATAGCTTGCAAACTGAAGCAATGACGATACTTAACGATTCCACTAAGACTGCCTTTGCTGTTGCAGAATCCCCAGTGGGGAAACCAACCAGCAGTTCTTCTAGGCAACCAAAGCTACCACCAAAGCCTGAGAACTTACCCCATCCCGAATATACCACGCCAAGAGGTGTATCGCCTCTGATATCTGTACCAAAAGCAGGGTTGCAATATCCAAATTATACGCCTTTTAAGCTCCCAGATTTGGTCGAACATCCATTTATCGACAGAGGAATCGATTCGGATCCGAAGAAGAGTAAATTACTAGGTGCAGCATCAGAAGTAAAGCATCTGACCCCATCTATTGGAACTGAGCTTGTAGGAATCCAACTTACATCTCTCGATGATACCCAAAAAAATGAACTCGCTCGATTGGTCGCAGAACGTGGAGTTGTATTTCTGCGAGATCAGGAAATGGATGTTCATGAACAGATAGAATTTGGGTCTTACTTTGGAGAACTTCATATTCATCAGATGGCAGGAATCATACCTGATTTGCCATGGGTACATCCAATTCATAAGGATGAAACTGCCAAAAATGGTCGATCCCATCAAATATGGCATTCGGATGTGAGTTATGAGATCCAACCACCCGGATTGACCTTTTTGAGAATGGATACGCTTCCAAAAGCTGGACCTGATGGATATGAAGCTGGTGGGGATACAATTTGGGCGAGTGGTTATGGTATCTATGAGTGTAAGGTTGTCCAATACATGAATGATGTCCACAATACTAATACTTCTTGCCATAGCATTATCTCCAACACTGAAAGGTATTTTGGAAAATCTGGAAGCAAAACATAGTGGTCTTGAACAAGCCGAGAAAGCACTTAAAGGAAATGGCTGTCTTCGAAGGAATCCTATTGAGACAATAGTAAGTATCATATTTCACCATGACACATAATTCAATTGGCTTACCATTAAATCCTACAGCACCCGGTCGTAAGAACACATCCAGTAACCCAACAAAAGACTTTATATGTGAACGAAAACTTTACCAAGGAAATTGTGGGCGTCGAAAAACGATTCAGCGAATCTCTCCTCGATTTCCTCAATCGATACGTCGCGGAAGCATACGAATATCAAGTGAGATGGAAATGGTCCACCAATGCAGTTGCTATCTGGGATAATCGTGCTACGTTTCACACTGGGATTTTTGACTACTGTGAGTATTGATTGTCCAACCAAACTTTTGGCAGACAATATACTGACAGTGATACGTGATTAGATCCTCACCTTCGTCATGGATTGCGTGTTGCTACCCAAGCTGAAAAGCCCACCAAATGAATTGAAATATTGTGATGGAATGAATAATTTACTCGTCGGCTCAATTGATGGAGGGAAAACTCTGGCTCGAAATGTTCCATTTGACTAGAACCCGAGGTGTCCGAGGATGTATATAAGGTTATTGATGTGTCTTTCAGTATATGTAAGGCTTTGAATGAAAGCGAAGATTCTCATTGACCCTTTTCAATGCCAATTGCTGAACAAATATTTGGTCGTGTTGAATAATATCGTAAATATATGCTTTTTCCTTGGTGGTCTTCAGGGTCACAACTCACTAGAATCAATGCGACTAAAGACCATCACCCGTTTTCTTCAGAGCCAAGACAAACTAGAAATGTGAATGGTCCAGGGCTGGATAGAGTAGAGACTAGACCATCTGAAATTCTCGAATGTCTCGAAGTATCTTCTCCTTAAGACGAGACTAGAAATGACTTACATGCTCACTAGCTGGGTAGGTAGAGAGCATGAGGAAAGATTAAATCATCAGGTAATTACCTAGTGTTATAAAAGTATCCTGTTGAGAAATCCGCCCACCATTTTCAAATCTTCATCCCTCTCTTGTTTCATTTCTTACATGTTTCCATACTTGTTGTGCGTTTAAACATGATTTGAATATTGCTGGTCCGTCGTAGTGAAAAGGTTTCTGATAATGAGAGGCAGGCTTTCAATTTCAATAGGCCAAGGTAGAATAATCTCTGCCAGTAACGCCAGTAATGATTCAGGAATCTTTATGTTGTTCAGAGTTGAGCAATACATTCTCATTCCCAAGAACATGATTGGTCGTTCGTATTGTTCAGCATCCATTCCAGCTCTTGAAATTATTTGTGCGAGAGTAATCATTCTGCGTTGGAATTGAGATTGATCAATCGAGTGTAACCTTCAAGTGTAAGGCTGGGTAGAACAAACGAAGGAAGAGTCAAGGAACTGAACATTTGCACGATAAGCCACGAAGAACTATTTCTTACCTAGTGGTGAGGTAGTATTATGTGGTCAAGAACATTAGTACTCTGTACTTTACTTCCACTTTTTGAACACGGAAAGTGGACAGCCACCATGTTTTATCAAACATTGATTGACACTGTCATGTCAACGGCCTTCAAACTAAAAAAAGGAGATGCTCTAGATGTCGCTGTCGTCACCCCACAGCTAAAGTGGCCCGTGATAAGCTTCATCCCAGTATCACATCACCCCTCCCGACTAGAAATATGCTATGAATAACATGATAATTTTTGTATTTAGCCTGCATTTTGATCTGATCTGATTTGGCTAGTAATTTAGTACCATTCGCACGCATACACATAATCTTATCAAACCACACTACCGACTATCCAAGTCGAAGGACGAGTATCGTAGACATCATCTAGTCCGCCGCCGTGCCTTGCGTGTTCAACTTACCCCATACGATATCCATACCCAGGTACCCATAACCTTACCCATGAGCAAAACCAAAAAAAAAATCTTGTTTCCCACGAGCCCGCCAACACGCAACAACCAGGATTAAATCTCGCCAAAAGAGTGTACCCAGCAAGCAAGATCCTGAATCTGGACCTCGATGACATCACACCATCTTATTTTCCTGCTTCTTCCAATCTTTTTTAATGTATGAAGTCCCACCAGCCTCGTTGCTGGTTTTCCCATCTCATAATTCCACTTAATCCACCTTGCAGAAAACCAGCTATAAAGAAAGACCTTCTCAAAGCAATTTTTTTTCATTTGTCTACCTACCTTCTGATGTCCTTTATCCTCGAACCATCATCCGAAGCCTATCGCGAACGCAAAGCCAAGAAATCGCGCTCGCAGCCTCCAGCTCAAAACCAACAACTCCAGAGCCAATCTCCACCCACCCCACCCCAAAACATGTCGATGCAACAACAACAAAATGGCGGCGGGCAACTCGCCCACAACTTCCAGCAAAACTTCCAACAAGCAAAACAGCCCGAAACCAGCAAACCTCGATACAAGGGAGGAAACTACGGACCGGGCACCATATCGCAGCGCATTGAGAAAGCCATGTACGAACTGGAGCATCAAACCTGGCGCTGTCGTCTCGACAAGCCATCCGCGCTCCTCGAATACATTGATCCCAAAGCCGTGTTTGCCTCGCCCGAGTACGGCATCCTGACCAATGATTCCGAACCCACGCTGAAGGAAACGCTCGAGGATGACGATATGCGGACGTGGAATTCCTACGAGATTAAGGATATGAAGATTGTCGAGGTGAGCATGATGGCTGCCACCGTCGTGTATGATGTGACGGCGAGTATTACGGATGAGAAGGGTTATCCAAAGGGCATTTACAAGGCCTATTGTACGAGTTGTTGGAAGCAGGAGGCCAGCGCGGATTGGAAGCTGTGTACTTATACCGAGGCGCCGCATCCTTAGTGGAGGGGTAGCGGAGAGCCGGGATGGTGAGCGAGGGCTTGCTTGGATGAATGGGATAAGTAAAAGGGGTGATTAATTATGATGTTATGCTATGTCTTGGTGGATGGATGTGCATGGTGTCTGATGGATGAGGCGTGGGTTGGCATGGCACGGGCATGTTTGGTGTTTGGATAGGTAGGATGATATAGGAGTTTTAATGGATATTTCGTCATCATCAATATTGTTTATTTTTTTCAATGATTTACCGATTGGCCTCCCTATTCACATCAGATTGATGAGCATGCACTGATACATCCTTTTCTCACACATGCCGGACCTCTATTCACTACATTGCTCGTGGCATCTAAGCGGACGGAGACAAATAATTCATGGGATCATATCGCCAGTGTGGATCTCAATACAGTATTTCAATATAAAAAAGCAGAATACCATTGTCCTATTCAAACAAACCAATATATCACAATATCCCTCATCCGAAAATCCCAAGCCATCTTTCCCACCCCTCGCCTCTCATGTCTACTCAACCCTCTAAAAAGTCCCCCAATAATGCTTATCATAATCCCCCTGCGGTTTCCACAACGGCGCAGGCGTATACACCGGAATCGGCACCGCCGTACCATACCCCGTCGTCGGCACCGCCCAACTTGGCCACGTGGGCGTTGCCCACCCCGTCGGCGCACTAGTAATCGTATACGTACTCGTATACGTTTTTGTTTTTGGATTTTCTCCCGCGCCCAAACTGACAAGACCATCGTTAGTCCCGTAAACATCATCGCCCTGGCCGAAAATGTTAGAAATGTGGTTTACACTTGTGCTTCCGCTTTCGGTCCAGACGGTCACGTCTTTGATGGTGACGTTTGTGGCGGGGATGTAGTCGGAGGCGAGGAGGTAGAGCGCGGGACGTTGAGCGCCGTTTTGGATGGAGCCGGTAAAGTTGCGGAAGGTGATGTTGGTTAGGGCGACGGCGCCGCTGTCGGGGAGGTAGGTTTGTTGCCAGTATTGGTTGAGGTTTATTCCGTAGAGAGATGCTTTGGAACGGAAGTTTTCCCAGAGGATGTTGGAGACGTAGCCGGAGCCACCGGGGTAGGTTTTGATGAAGACGATTTCGTTACCGCCGAGAACGGATATATTGCGTGCATGCTGGGTGGAGGGGATGTTAGTTTTAAGAGTAAGAGAGGGGGGGAAAGAGAAAGGGGGGGTACGAACAATGTTTGATATCTCAGCCGAAACATTTAAACTTCCAATTGAAATTCCCGATCCAACTTGGTTACAAACCAAATTCTCCACCAGCGCGTGATGGGAGGGACTTTTAACAGATACACATTCATCTCTATTTGTTACCTATCATCACCAAGATCAGTTTCTGTTTCCCTTAATTTCCCTTAATCCAAACCCCGTGGTAGTCTGGAAGAACTTCAAGATCTAGAAACTATACCTCATTATCATGAACCCAATAATTCGTCCCAATAGCATCAATCCCATCATAAGAACCCAAATTAGCTCCACGGATAGTCAGGTGATATACTTCAATATTCTCGCCAAAATCAAATATGAAGTGAAATTTGGGACTATCAATTAAAAGTAGATCATGAATTGTAGCATTTATTGGGGAAATCAGACGAAGCATTCGAGGTCGATTAGTGCTGGACGGTTGTTAGAGATACGCAACGTTTGGAAGAGAAAAGGGATAACTTACTTTCCATTAATACGGTACAAGTAACCTTGGCCTTGAATTGCTCCAAGACCATTAGAGGAGTAGAGTTCGAAATCAACGGCTAAGTTTGTTTAGCTCAGAAAAATTGAGAGAGAAGGAATGATCATCTTACCATTAATAATGACAATTAAGTTTTCCAGGAACTCTCCGTCACCCTCCCCATTAATAGTACTATTCGATACCTCAACGTCCGTAATCCCATCATCCAGAATTTGCCTCGGCAGGACATACCTATTTAACTTCTCTACACCTGCAAAGCCCTCTAGAATCCTTGCGCGAGGTACAACATATGGTACAACATAAGTCGAATCCGTTGAATTGGGATAATAAGTCGCGGTAATGAGACCATCAAGTTGGAAAGCCCAATTGGTTGCATTACTCAAGATGATGCTAGTTTTGAGCGTGTAATTTCCAGCAGGTACAATCAAACGACTACCAGCATGTTTTTGAACACAAGAGGTAAAGGCGTTAGTAATTGGGATAGAGACATCGTCGGTAAGGGGGTTGAAGGTTGGATATAGGGTTCGAATGTTGCACTCAGTAGTCTTTTTGGAAAGAGGTGTGGTTGCGCCAACTGGACCAGTAAGTTGTGCTTGTGAAAATAGACCCAAGTGAAGGAACAAGAGTAGGGATACTTTGATTGAAAACATCTTGAATACCTAGTACCTTTCTGAGAACGATACTATAATACATGTACCTTCAATCTTTTTATGTTCACTCACGACAATATCGTCAAACAGACGTACATTTCACGAATTCTGTCGCAATCGCACAACCCATAGCGGACTTTGGACCTGCAAATTAGATGGAAGAGATTATGCACCAAACAGATATCTTCAATGAGCTTTTTAATATATTGAACTGTAGATTCGAAAGGCAGGTGGGGCTGCACCCTGTGAACGTCATGATCAAGGGGTATGGCGCATTTTGGATGACATTCGGTAACTCGGCCGAGTTATGACCGTGAGCCAGCTCCTTCCCTATTTCAAATCTTTGACATGTAAAGGTATATTGAGGTGGTATTTTGTTATGGGTTGTGTTTGGGTCGAGTGTGTTTCATAGGTTACTTGGATTTGCCAAGCTTATTTTCACTACACCTTCTCCTCATCACCCCGAAGTCCAGTTTTTGAGCCACTCATTCTCTTATCAATGCAATTTGCACAGATAATCTTATCTACGCTCAACAAAGTCACAAATCTATTGCCTATGGAATGGAAACTGATATCAATACCGACAAGTAGAGACTGTAAAAAGCTGATAAGATGGCTCTAAAAAATAAAAAATTAGCACCTGTCTCTCCAAGAATCGCTCCTCGGCGTCCGAATTATGAAGCTGCTTGCCTTATTCTGAGTGGATGTTTCTTTGTCTCGCTCATAGTTGTATATTGAGCTCTTCATACATGAATAGATGCAAATTGTTACCTCGCAAGGAGAGCCAAACCCAAAAATTGGAGAAAGTAGGGGATTTTCCCCAGCCATTGGCCTCTTCTTGGCTAACGCAGGTACTTCTCAGCTTACTAAAAAGTGGTGGTACATAATAACGGAGACAATCAAGATAGCAAGTTTCTAATAAGGTGGTAAGATGTACTGAAATTAGTCTAGCTAACGACTGCTTGATCTTCAAACAGCACTTTACTGTGCGGGTTAACCAATCTCAGCCAAGAGCTGTAGCGGTGACAATATCGCGCCATAGACTGATTAGAATGGATATGGCGAAAAGTGTTAGCAATTCAGAATGACATCCCTTGCTACATGATGGTGCTACTGAACCAGGAGAAGAGAAAAATGTCGTAGTACAAAGTTAGGAGCGACACTTGCTTTTTCTCGCCTGATTGCCATCATCTGCTTGTATGAATTCAAATAATTTCTTGCAAACCGTCGGGTTGTGAGAATCAAGGCACTGCGCGAAAATCGACATGATTCAGAGCGCAGGAGAAAAAAAGTCTCTACTTTGGTCGCAAAGATTATATATGCTTTCAAGAGCCGATGCAAATGGAATGACTCACTTAGAGGTCATGTCCTAATCTCAAACACACAAAAAATGTGGTATATGATCTTCCGACAGCGCAGTCGAGCAACATATGGAACTCGTTTGCCCTTAGAATCTCGAGTATTGGAAGAGATACAAAAAGCAGATAGGCTCTTAACTAATCATTTTCGGAGCCCAAAAGGAAAGGAAGATGCTGTTTAAACCCAAAAAATTCCATAACTCACAGAGAAAAGCTTCATGAACTTTTATAATGACGGTCTAGCCCTTGTCCACGAGTAACAGGTCTTCGACTTGAGCTCGATGGGGTCTTTTACCTCGAACACTCCCGTTCTCCACTTGAAGACAATGCAGTTATTCCCGTGGAAAGGCCTTAGTCCTGAATTTATCAACGTGCAAGATTCTCAATTGATCTATCTCTGGGATCCATACTAGAACCTGAAAGTCTGCTTTAGAAACTCGGAATCAAATCGCACAGTAGAGAAATAAGGAACATTATGGGAATCGGATGCCAGAAGCCTTTCTTTACTCAGTAGAACAACTAACTACACTCAATGATCTTATAAATAGAACCTACTAAAAGACTATACCCTCAGCAATCTTTGACAGCAGTCTCAATTCATTCTTCCTGAGTCCGAGAATGTTTCTTTTCTCTGTCGTCGACGCCAAGCCATAGCATATCCGGGCGACTATAATGGCCACCGACATCTATGAATGCTTTGCTCTTGAGTATATCATCTAGATATAAATTCGCATATATTATACCCTCTTTAGCTTCTGGTATGTCCGTAGAGAGTTTTCGACCATCCGGACCAAAAATTGCTGAATTTCCTCCCCCCGGGGTGTTCAATAAAGCACCGGCGCCCGTGTCCATTATATCGATGCCTTTCTGAGTCAAAACAGCTGTTGTGTGAAGAACGAATGTTTGAGATTCGATTGCGTATGTTTGTGATAAACTATGGATGCCTGTTGGGTTCATGTGAGCATATAAGGCTCTATTGTGATACAGAACGGACAACAAACCTTCCTTAGACAACGACCATAATCCTGGACCTCCGTCGTGTTCGAAAGCGGGTGGCCAAGCAGCCACATGGAAATCTTCTTTCTGAAGTATTGTATTATACTTTAATAGTGGTTGAGTATGCTCCCAGCATGCCAAAGCACCAATCCTTCCAATGCCTGGAACTTCTGCTACATTCTTCAAGGAATTGCCGGATGCATCTCCAAATACAGTCCTCTCCATATGAGTAGGCTTTATTTTTCTTCTTGCCATTATAATTTTGCCATCGTTCCTTATAATTGCCTGCGAAATATATAGAGAGTTGTTGTCATTTTCCGAGAATCCAATTGACACAGTGATGTTGTTTTCAGCTGCACAAGCACAAATTTGTGCCATCTGAGGAGAGTTGATTTGCAACGAGTTTTTGATGTATATTGCAGAAAGTTTGAAATCAACAGGGCGGCACCTGAAATTTGTTCGTGTTAGTTTGTCCCTCAATTGACAGGATGCTTAATTGATATACATACCAGATCCAAGCTGGATACCCAGGTATCCAGCATTCGGGGAAAGTAATGAGCTTCGCTCCATTCGTAGCTGCTTCAACTATGAGCCGACAGGTCTTCTCCACAGCCTTCTCAAGATCCAACCATTCCGGTTCTACTTGTGTTACTGCAACTTTTGTTGTTCCTTCTAAGTGTCCCATTTTGTTTTATTCGTCCGATGGATTCAATGAAGGACAAGTTTTCCGGGTGCGGTCAACTTATACCCAAAACTTGGGCAGGGCCGCCCCCCGGAATTTTACACTTTCATGATTGTGTAAGATGGACGAGGCCGCCCCCCCGGAATGTTACACTTCCATGATTGTGTAAGGCGGACGATATGATGCAAATGTGAAGGAATCGATAATGGGGGATGACAATAAGCTTGTTGCACATAGCGGGGCAGGAATAACTACTCCATCTCCACGGAACTATAAGCTTTTAGAACTCTTCGCCGGTCAATGGTGACTCTCCGGGCTTTGAACCGGGCTTTGAGATAAAGTTGGAAGGGGAATTCGGGTGGTAAGAGAAGGGATCTCAGGCCCACAGACAGTTATCTTGATGAGCTGTACGGTCCAGAAAAATGATTTGTTGACGCATTTTCAAGGTGGTTCCTATGTGAATGGAAACCTGGGAGTCAAATGAGTGTTTTTAATCGAAGCAGGGAGCAATAGCTTAATATGTATACGAAGAACAACTGGAGGAGTGCGACAGAGAGATTGTATTTGTATTTAGCAGAAATTGGCCATTCTATTGAATACCATGAAGAAATTCTTTGTGGTCTGTTGAATGAGTGAGGCTGCCAACACGACGGAGTAAATTTCTAGTGATTAGCTTGCAACACTAGAGCTGCAGCCTAGCACAGACACCAAGCTTTGCTTCCCCATATTGTCTCCTTCACCAAACCTTGTTAATTCATGTCAACCATGTCAACCATGTCAACCTTGCCAACGACGACTACAAATCAAAAGTTGCAAAAAATAAATGTCCAACCATTCGTCTCTTCTACAGAAATATACAACACAGGTTTGTACTTTGCCAGATCATATTCTCATGGTTATTGCGATCACAAACAGTTTCTAAGTGAATGAACAGACTCGGCTGGTTTTGTCAATTGAATGCTTCAACAGTCATCAAATCTGTTTGATACACTTTCTATTGATTGTATGTAATCATGGGAATTTGCATGATATAGTTGGCAATCATCACTCAAGGTAATCCCGCAATTGGATCTGGCAAGTATCCTGCCATATTCAACTTTGCTTGACTCCAAGAATGCGCTCACTTTTCTCAACACTTGCTCATCAATATAAAGACCACGGTGGACAAAATTCATTCTCACAACCTCAGTTTCTCCGATGTTTTTTGTAATTTTCGACTTTGCCTGACAGCAAGATCTGTATGGCCAGCTTGTCTGATATATCGAACCAAGCCTATCCTCTGCCTGCGCCCTTTCTGCCCTTCTGTTTCTTTCCACTTCTCCGGGACTTGGAATTTACCACAAATATACCTAATCTTGCGAACAGTTCATTTTCTTTCTTTTTGATAGGGAACCTCACCTTTACTTCTGCTCTACCATCTGTCGTACAACAACCAACTTTTCACGGCAGCTTGAATCCCGACAACAAAAGATGCCCTCTCCTCTTTTGCTAGGTTCCGACCCTACGTTCAGCTTTGATGGCACTGAGCTTTACGGTGCCTCCGGATTTTCTAGAGTCAACCTCTATCCCCAGACTTTGTCCCCCCGAAAGGTATTTTTTTCTCTCCAACGATCGTCGCAAGCAAACTACAGAGAATACGATCTAGAGAGTGCACAGGGTCAACGCAAGGTTGGGTTATAGAACCAGAAGATCCAAAAATCATAAACCCAATAGAGCTCTATCTGTTACGACATACACACGAGGAAGAATATACAGGAAGAACACTGATAGCAAGAGCAGCGTCTCGATATCATCCGGCATCATCATGGACTTCTTCATCGACTTGCTTAATGTCCCACATCAATCCCTGTGCTCGGAATCAAGACCTCAGATTCTCGAGAATCCACTAAGACTCATGATAATACCCCAAAGCGCAAGACCGCTCAAGTTCATGTATGATCAGTTCCTTCCGCTGATTTGCAACTCGGACCTTGCCTATTGTATAGCAGGTATGGATATCATAGCTAACTTCAGCTACCTATACATACTACGTTTTGACTTGTTCCATATCACCATGAACATGGGACTAATTGAGAAATGAGGATTAAGACAAAGATGAAGGATACTTCATTGATATTTACATTGCGTACTCCGCAACTAAACATCAACGCTATCAACGCTATCGAACACCTCTAAACTAATTGGGAACTGGGAACTGGGAACTGCCAAACCTATGAACATCTGCGTGCCTCGCCAGACAGAGGCAGGATTGTAGTATGATTAGGAATGATATTTACAAGTACCATAAACCGAGACAATGATTGATTTTCAATTCCGCATAATATTCTTGGGCGTGGTCGTAGCTTCCAGACCAGATATCCCTCAAGTTGAGACGAAAATGCAAGCACAAGTTCAGGATACCACGTTGTTTACTGTCACATTGAGATGCTTTGTGTTTTGACATTCTGATTACTACTTTATTCTTGCTATAAACAAAGTTTTTGCTGTACTCTCAAGCGAGAGCAGAAACACTTGTAGACTAAGTATCCCGTTCCTGAAAACAAAAGCATAAGCGCTGCATCTTAAGTCGCTTAAAAACGAAAGCAAGACAGCCTCTGTTGATATCGCGAACTTGCTCCTGAGAACATCTTTCCGTTGAAAAATGTTTCTTGTCCTTCCAAGCTGTATGCCATCCTGGTTATTTTAGTATGTCAATTAGCTCTCACTGACTCCGACTGGCGAACTTAGGTCGCTTTTTTGGTACTGGTGATAGTATGAGGTTCCAAACACTTCAGAAATATTTGACGGGCTTTGTTGGACAAATGGTCTAGTTCTTTATCACTAGCTCTCCCATTTTTAGTATCGAGTACCCGTGCCCTGACATCGAACTCATCATTGACTTTCAGTCCTTTGATTGCCTCCACAACATCTAAAGCCACATCGCGCGTGTTTTGGTGGAAGTAGAGCATTTCGTCTTTTGGCAAAGATACATAAAGTAGCATTGTCTTGACGCATTGAAAATGCTCTGTGATAAATTTGCAGAGGAGTAAAAATTGACAGAGTTCACAGTGGTCCGAGAACGGCCCATCCACAGTGTGGTCTTGATTGTGCCAAAACGTGCTCAAGTGTAAGCATATGTGTTTAACTTCTGCGTGGTTGTCCTTAGTGGTGCATCGTCGAATTTGTAGCTACAACGCGGTTAGTTCGGAGCTCGGATTAGGGGGTGGATCAAAATACATTTTTCTGTTTCTTGGCATCTTTTAAAATAATGGTGCCAAAATTTAGACGCTCACCGAAGTCAATAACAACGTTATCCCAGAAGAAGTCGACAATTTCCTTCCAGAGATTGATGTATTCATCATGTGCAACGTCTATCTTTTGTATCGCTTTGCCCTTTCCTTTCCCGCCCATAGTCAGGTTGGTACTGCTTGCTTCGTCCAGTTGGAGTGCATATTCGACTTTTTCTAAAAGCCATATTAATTTCTGAATACCCCGGTATTCGTTCGGTTTGAAGAAATCGAGCATTCCCTCTGACTGCGCCCAATATTTCTCATTTTTCCAGTCCTTAAGATCATCTTCTGTAAGACCTAAAACATCGTCGGATACATAATGAATAGGAGGAAGAGCACGGTCGGCTGAAACTCTTCTGGAAACAGCAAATCGTCTTCCATTGCGAGAGAGGCGCGCATGTTGGGAATCTGGGGACCACGCGAATATCAAAAGTTTGTAAATCCTGTTTCGTACTCCGACAGGGAGCATCTTGAACAACTTCCAGAAACTGCTGGCTGTTAGCACAAAATTTGTGATATCAATGGCGTAGAACATTGGATCTATACTTACTCAAGTGAAGTTGGGCCATCTCTGAGAAAATCGCCAAATGGTATTACAGCCTTGAATTTGGAATTGATTTTTGGTTCTTGCTTGGGACCAGGTTCTTGATAGAAATCGTCTTCAAACGACAAGTAAGGAATCGACCTCGATGGAACTAGCATTTTTGCACTGCGAGGTCGGTCGTCTGATATATAGCAATTTGCGAACGCTACTTCGAAAATTGGGGCGTGAGTGTTGTTACGAGACATCGTGGTTGTTGGTTACTACACTTATAAAGACTGATCAGTGGGAGGCTTGATAAATGAAGGAGGTGATGTGACAGTTATGGAATATTGAACAAGTGCTTACCAGAAGACTCAAAGTGAAGGTTGAAGAAGATGAAAGTTACAAGGTCTTTTTAAGTGATAGATTCTTGAGGCTGTTGTTGAAACTGTGTGAAAATATGAAGAGGAAGTCGAAGGATTGCCGATTAGAAGCAGAGCTCTAAAATTCAGCAAGTTTTGTGCGAGGTATTGCGTGAAAAGGCGAAGAGAATCAATATTCGCGTTTTTAGTTAATTCGAAATGTGCTATTGGTGAAAAGAAATTCCTTCTTGTAAAAGAGAGAGCTACAATGTAAAAAAGAGTTCAAAACAATAGTTCAAAACTAAACTAGTAATCAGAAGGAATTTGTTGTGTGTTCGCAAGTGTTGTGTTTATGAAGGAAGCTGTTGTAGTAGTGGATGTAGATTACTTTGTTTGTTTGAATTTATGTCCAGTACAGCCTCAACTAAAAATTCACCAAGATGAATGCTACCCCTCCAAATAATGCCTCTCAAACCCGAGCCCGGGGTTTGGCCGAGATGAGTTCAGATTTCCATGATTGGAGATATATATATAAAGATTACATCTGGACAATAACAATTCACCTCTCGTGTCTACTCTAAGAACTAACCCGCTTCTATGCCCTTTAACAATATACGAATCAGGACAAAAAGTCATTCTCATATTAGTGGTCAATCTTTGACTGTTGCTCATAGATTTGATACTTTTCCAAACAGAGATATACTATTTGGAGTGTTTCATCAACTCCACCTTTCTCTTTTACATTCAAAGAACAAGGAAAATAAGTCAGATCTACTTCTGTAGAGCCTTGTAACTTTCCTCTCAAGCAGACTTGCACAGCACGAACTGTATTGAGTACTTTGTTTAGCACAACTGCGAGTTTTCGGCTCCAACAACCTCTCTATACGCGCAACCTCATTACAAGCTCTCTTTAGACTTGTCACTCGAACTAAGCCTCCCCTACTTCTTGACTAAGACTAGGTACTCAATCTGAATCGAGATTAAACGACAATCTCTACATTCAATCATACCTATCCACTCTGCTAGTAGTGGACAAAGCCATTCAATACAAACTACTATTCTTGGCTGTTCTTTCTCGCCTGATAACATCCCGCTGGTCATCGGTTCCTTTCGTCGGGTATGACTACATCCTCTGCATACAAAAATTAGGCAATACTCAAATCATCGTCCATCTTCCTGTCTCTTCAGAGCAGCTTTATCTAGCTAGCTACTTATTTCGCAGGGATTATTGGGACCAGCATACATACGCGGCTCAGAATTAGTTATCCTCTCGAAAAGTCTGAGATAGCAATATACTCTCGTCTACGATCATCCATTCCCGTCGTCGCCACTCTTACAGATATCCACGGAAGTCCTACCCTCTATACCAATACCCTCCCTCATCACTTTTAACGATGAAGTTCAATACAATGGAGAAACGATCTGGATCAAGGCTCGACGATGATCGTACTAGGGATGTGCAAGTTGAAGAGACTCAAGGTACTTGTTCATCTGCGTTTCAGGAGCTAACAACCTCATCTCGAAATCGCGCAGATGTGGATCAAGCCAAGACGCTTTCGGAAACCAACAGTCTCGATGAAGTGTCTAGTGAAACCACTGAACTTCCCACTACGTCTGGCCATATTCCAGACCCATATATACTGTTCCAAACCTCTACTCGCCATCCTAAGTTGCCTTCTAGAATTCCAATCACTTCAAATGGCTCAGTCCAACATCGCTTGCTATCAACTAGCATCCAACCTCTTGCAAACTTGGAAACCTTCTCATTATTTCTGATGCTTCCCTTTGAGATACGAAGAATTATATGGAAAATGACTTTGCCCGGCCCAAGGATTATTCTCATACGGTCTATTCGGAGCAAGTGGCCCCTTCGAATGACTTTCACCCGACCTCCAAGGACTTATAATACATATAAGTCTAATTACGCTATGCCAAATGCAATGCTAGTGTGTAAGGAAGCTTTAGACGGTAAGATCCCTTTCTATTCTCATATTTTCAAAACACAGATTGCCCAAGGAATGCATCATTGTCGAGAAACTTGCGTGCAACGGAAACTGGCTCTTCCAAATCCTTTTGAGAAGCCTGTTTACAGTCGCTAATTTGTTGTACAGTGATTTTAGAGGAGTCTCGATTGGTGCGAAAAGCTTTTATCTGTAAAGATATTCCAGGACCATGCCTGCAGAACAAGATTACCTTGAATTTCAAAGCCGATTCGATATACCTTGATACGGACGACGAACGAGAGGGCTCGGCTACTGACTATCCAACAAAGTGGCGTCCCATTGCAATGCTTATGGATATCTGGTTTGATCTTCGCTTTTGGGCAGAAATCTCGCATCTCATACTCTCAATTCCTGGGGTGTACAGAGACAGATACAATTGCGATGACTTTCGAAGATATCTCAGGAACATATTTGCGTACATGGAAGGATTGAACCGCGTAACTTTCGTCCTTGCAGACAAGACAGAGCATCTACCATATGCAGAGAGAGATCTTGCATTAGAGTACCCGATGGATATCGACTACGCTCTGGATTTGTTCGCTAAGCACCCCCGAGAAGTGTCGCGCGAGGAAACATTGAGACTTGGGGAGTGGTACAAGGAATTTTCGCCCAGCTTTGTGGAGTTTGATATGGATGCTTTGAGAGAACATCCGTATCGGAATGATTGGACTTCTGCTAGCAGGCCGCTGATTATTCCTAGAGATGCAGTTGTCGATTTTAAAATTATAGTTGAGAGGGAGAAGTCAGAAGAGTTGGCAAGAAGAAAGAAAAGATTCTATGCAGTGAAGAGACAGATTGCTGAAGAGGAAGATATACCATGGCATGATGTTTGCTATCAGGGGCCTGCTAGGGAAACCTAGATGATGTTATGAATCAGTCGATCGTCTTGGGCTTTAAGTTTTTGGCAGCAAGGCTTTTTAGGTAGTTTGCTCCTCACAATCGCATTTCACCTCATGTGTCATATCAATGACAATCCCATAATGTTCCAATTCATAACACCTAGTAACTTCATGTGTGGACTTAAGGTGTTGAAGAATAGCCCACGCAATAATGTCATGTTATTCAATATTAATTAATACCCAAAGGTCTGAATATCAAACTGAAGTGAATCAAATTGAAGTAGTAAATCCTGACTTAGTGTTCATCATGATTCATAGCATGAAATTTGAACTACATAGCAATCTCCATTTTGTTTTACATTCACCAAGCGAGATACTTTGAATGAGAAATCATTGTTAAGAAAAGCGATCTAGCCTTACATTGCTATAGCGATGAAGTTGGTGTTTGCAACTCATATATCATCGTAGCATCATCTTGTAGTAATTATTGAACGGAATGCACGTCCTGAAAAGTCCTCCCTGTCTATCTCGCAATTCTCTCCTCCCCCTCTCCCATCCCAAAATCCTTCAAGAACCTCCCCCAAACAGCCCCCTTCCCACTCTCCCCCACCGCCACACTCCACAAAACTCTCGCAGCACCATCTTCCCATCCAATTGGACATCCATCCCACCCACCATTCCTCTTCCTATTCTCAATCACTTCTTTGGCTGCGCTCAAATACCCAGGATCCACACTATTCATAGCTACTTTTCGATCTCGCCATGCTGCTGCTGCCTCGGTTTCCGTAAGCATATTGAGTGCGGCTTTCGCAAGATTCGTGTGGACGTGATATCCATTTTTGTGACGGTTAGTGGGTGTTGGCTCAAATACTCCCTCGCGAGCTGAGACGTTGATGATGTGGGCTAGTGGCTTGGCGGGTTGACCATTGTTTGCTGGATGTGGACGGGGAGTACCCATGAGAGGAAGAAGTTCGCGTATCAAGATTAGAGGGACGAATGTATTGACTGAATGCGCGGAAATGACGTCTTCATAAGGTATTTCGTATAAGCTTTGAACCCAAGAGGTCTTGGGTTCTTCCATCATTGTTGAGATTGAAGTGGTGTTTTCTGTTCGTCCGATTATTCCAGTCTCTTCGGTGGATATTTCGTTGAGACGCTTTTGTTCTGTATCAAACGCTAAAAGGTTTAAACTCTGAACACCTCCTCTGATCCGAGCATTATAGTTGGTATCAAGGATTAGATTGTCATTGTTATTATCCTCAAGTCGTAGCTGATTTTCCAATTCAATGGCTCGTCTCTCTTCTTTCACCGAGTCTGTCCAAGTTTGAGCTGCATTGTTTATAAGAATATCAAGTCTTGGTGTATTTTCTCTACTCCAGTTTCTCAGTATCTGCTTAATTCCAGCGACCAAATGGAAGACGTCGTTCGCTGCTCTGAAGTCGGCTCCTAGGATTCTCAACCGCTTGACCCACTTTTCCGAGTCGCTTTCCGCTAGATATCTCACTGCTGCATCTTGTGGATATCTAGAGGATACTATTACATGAGCACCGCATCTGAGCAGTCGTAACGCGGTATAGAAGCCCAGGTTGATTCGTCCTCCTGTTACCAATGCCGTTTTACCATCCAGATTCAGAGCTTCAGGCAGTGAAAGATTGCTTGATGCGAGATTGAAACTTCCGCAGGGTTTACAAAGAGCGGGATATTGAGGATGAGGACTCGTAATGAGAAAGTGACAGAGATAGCATTTTCTTTCTTTTCTTTTTCCTCTTGTTACGTCTTCGCTTGCCGTGGAAAATGGGCTCCGCAGACGCTGGTTCAGCACCAGCACTATATTGTTCAATGGTGTTTTTCCATCAATACGAATGCCATCTTGACTCTTGACATAAAAATCAAGTACTCTGAGTGTAGTCTCAACATCTTCTATCGAAGGCGGATTCTGAGTAGCACCTCCTAGAGCATTCGGAAGACTTCCGTGCCTAGATTGAGGGCTCATTTGATGTAGGTAGGCTTGAATTCCCTGTATTATGCCAGTATATAAAGCTGCTCCTATCGAATATGAGTACCGAGTCGGCGCATTTTTAGGATACAACTCTTTCGCTATTTTTTCACCCAAGGGAGATTCGACGTGAGGAAGGTAGAGGGCCAAAAGACTAGGAAGCCCCTGTGTTTGGCATAACTCTTGATCCTGTCGAATTTGTTGGGCTATTGAAGAAGGGGTGTGGTTTTTGATAAAGTCCTGGCATGATTCTTCGGTATTCAACATAGCTACCAGAATAATTCACGACGCAATATTTTGTGACTGCTTTTTTGTTTTATCCTTTGAATTACTCACCGAGCCCTATAGGTGGGGGTTTTTAAGCTTATAAGCTTATTTGCGGCGCAGATGATGGGTCATTTCAGGGGTTTAGCGGGCCAAGCCCACTAATGCACCGTCGTGCTAAGCCCTGTAAATAAGCAGAAATCCTTCAAATTCGTGAGTCATTTGAATTCTGCACAAAGGACAACAAAACCACAGTATCGCCCTCGAACGTAGTAATTATATCCCAAGTTGATAACATTCTTCCAAGTTCGTTACACAATGGACACCAACGTTTGGTCGATTCCATGGCCACGCGAACTTCCAGTCGTGGTTCGGTGCTTGCAAAAGCTACCACGAGAAATAGTCCATCAAGTTTTGAGCGATTTACCAGTCATTAAGATACTATCGATTCTCTCTTGGAGATTACCATACCTCGATGAATGCGTTCTTTCTCATAGAGCCTATGGACGACTATTCAGCTCAAAAGGCGAAATCTCGAACGCTTTGAACTATTACAGACTCTACCGCGAGATATGCTGGTTTCGTCGCTGGCCTGCTGCAGACACAGACTCTGTGTTTGCAAGGTCACCTCAGATGCTCTTGAGTTGGGGGATAAGCGTGAATCGCATGATCTTTCAAATGAGACGCCTTATTAGAGTTGGCTTGAACATAAACGATCATGATTTCGATCTTCTCGTCAAGTATGGAAGGCCTTGTCCACGCAATGCAGACATCAGATTTGATGTGAATGGATCTTTCCCCGATTTGAAATATTGCTGGGAATATTGGAATTGGATTAAGAATGCGAAAATGAAGCTCAACAAACGGAAATCCGACCAAATAGAATTCTCAGCATATTTGATTGAGAAATACCCACGAGTTCTTAAGAGACCGCTTGATCCATCGCAGGGAGCTCCTCGACCCAACACTACTCATACTGTGGTTATGCTTGAGAGAAGAGCGATAAAAACTCTTAAGAACAGAAGTTTATCCCATCATTGGCATAGTAATAAAGGCTTGTATAAGTCGGGCAGATATGTGATTGAACTAGTACCATATGATCGATACCTTCGGTTACTACTTGACACGTTAGCCAAGTATCCACTCGATGTTGAAGTCACTGGTCTTGAGGAAACTCTAGCCAGCGTCTCCCTACATAATGGCAGGCAAGGAACGACCCTAGAAGATACCAAGTTGGCTACTATTCCTGAAAGAGATCCTAATTACTTCAAGTACCCAGAAGAAATCGCTGCTAGTTTAAGGGTAGCATTAAAGGGCTTGATGTATATATACACAGAGCCGCCATTGACCATACCTCGCATTCAATGGGAATCACTTAGAGATGAAAATTCTTCAGAGAAGTGGCCAAGATTCTTCGTTGATAAAGGAAGACACGAACATCCACATTTCCAGTATCCATGTGCAAATCTGAAAATAAAACCTTACGACGACAGAGAGTATGAATGGCTAGCAGCTTTTGTCGAGGTAGTCACATGGATAGAATTGAATATTGGACCGGTAAAGGAAGATTTTTAAGTCTTCATTGGTGGGGAATGCACATATTGCTCATGGCAGTCAGTCTAATAATAAAGCTGCTTGAAAAAGTCTTAATTGTGATTTTGCAAAAGCATTCTGTTTAGATTGTCAGATTCATTGAACAAGAATCCTGAAAAGGACATCGTCACAAACGAGAGAGCAGTTACGATTTATACATATGCTGCTTGTCATTTTGTCTAATTTCGAAATTGAATGTTCACTGCATCACATTGCCTCACTAAGCAGATTTGCGCAAAACAAACCCATATTTGTTGCTATTGTTGATTAGATTGATTTGATATGATCTAGGAGTTAACTCATGTCCGGAAGTATTTCTATTTTACCACCTGAAACGACCTTCAAAAACTGTCGACTCTGTTGGAAAGTAAAGCTGACCTGCAAGTTGCTGGCAGAATGAATGGTAAACACTACGCCGATCTCGAGGTCTTCCAATTCTTATTGAGCCACCGAAGCTTCAGTTCCTAGAGAAAGATCTCATTCGCGTTCGTTCTATGCATTGCCAAAGTTCTTGGCCTCTCCTCGTACCCGATGAGTTTGTTCAACAGCATTAAATTCCACCCAAAGATTCCCTGCATATCATCCTTGAGAGACTGAATTAGAAGGTTGTGTTGGAAGTTATAAGGCGGATGACGGAGCCTGAACAGAGATTTCAAATTCTACTACAGGCGTTGGACAAGCAGGGTTCTTTTTGTTCTCCTTCTGAAGTGCACTCTGCATTTCTTCGATACAAACGTTCTGTTTATTTCTACAAGCGAATGCGTCCATGATATGTTGAGGAATATCTGGCATGGGAGGTGTGAGGATGTATTTCTTCAGATTCGGCATCAACGTGACCGCATGGTGGCCCAAGAATTCTACTCCATCGTGACTATTCCAATGTGAACACTTGACGGTTCTAAGTTCATCGAATAGGTTTTGCAACCAAGTTCCAATTGAATGTCCAGAATATGCATCGTAGTAAAACATAGAATAATCTTTGAATTGCCAATAATTTCTCGAGTACTTCATGTTAGTGCAGTCAAAGATGTCTCTATCGGGATTGATGAAGAAAGTTCGAAACAAGCCAACTTGAGCGGAATTAATATCACCTAAATGTAGTCGTACTTTGTTGTAATGTTTCTCAGCCTCTTCACGGCTTTCGTGGTTGACAAACAAGATTGATGGTGTTGGAGCACCCAAATCAAAAGATTTATCCGTTGGATGAGTAGTTATTTCGAGTAGGCGCTCCTGCGAACAAGCTAGGCTCCAAATCGCCAACCTCAATTCGACCGCGAGCCGAGGAAACGGTGTGAAGATACTGAGAGCTTCTCTTGATATCGTATCCGAGCTGGTACTGGTCTCACTCTCAGGGAACGATTTGAGTGTGCTAGCTATTTGTTGTATGTCGGTCGCAGGGGTTGTCTCGCCCTCGTTGGTGCACGAATCGGATTTATTGGTTTCTTGTTGTAAATTGCAGATGGCCAATTGTTCAACACCGGAATTTAAGCTATCGAGTGCCTCATCCGTCATTGCATCGATATTTGACATCGTATTCGGTGACATCTCTTCAAGTAAGCTAAGACTAAGGTTGGAGACGATGATGTGATACCTGAAAGGGAGACAGATATCGAAATAAAATTAGATGGAGAGAACGCAGTTTTATTTATTTTGAGATTTAAGCTGAGGTTAATAAAGCAGGCAAAGACATGGGTCAAGAGTTCGGTTATCGGAGAGACACAAGCTAATGAAGTTATTCACTTGAACTAACCATAGTATTCACCTGAGTTATGTATTTGTTAGGTATTCATATAGATTAGAATATTGTCATAGTAACAGGCTCTTTAGAAATGCTTGGCTGATTCTAGAAGGCGCTGTCGTATGGAACACAAGACATGGAATATCGCAACAGAACAATGAACTTCTGAACACACTCTGGATTCTGTAACATCGCAACTCCATTCTTTCATTAATCTAGACTATTTAAATAGCAAAATCTCTGTTCAAGATGATACAACCAACATCCCACACAATCACTTTCAAAGCATCGCACAGTAAGCCTGGGGCTACCTTGTCATTTCGAAGATGCCGTACCTAGGACTCACGTCTATCGATCCATTCGGAATACTTTCCACTAGCCAAAAGTCTACAACATTACCTTCTAATGCCCATGATTTACCTCGCGAAATATCTCAACAAGCTTGGAGATTGAAAGAATGGATCTCCTACCCATTCACTGTTTTCAACAACCGGGAGGAGTTCGACGAAAAGATCAGAGAAAAGCTAAAACATGAGTTCATGGCAACTATCTGTGAAGTCTGGACTGATGCCAGACTATCGACTGGGATATTTGCTTTACAGAGTTTGTCAAGTCTAAGGAAAAGGAGAAGTACTTTGGAGAATCGGCTGGAATCCAGGAGACGGAGCATGCGTCAATGTAAAAAGAAGACGGAATGATACTTGAGGGGGTTCGGTATTGACCGTAGAAGAATCTTTGAAACATTAACTTCTTTGAAGATGCTAAATGTGTGAGACTGTTTCAGGTGATGATATTTTAGACAATAAACTATAAACATAACCCATCCACTCCAAGTGGCTTCCGAAAAAGCGCTGGTATCTTTTAAAACAATGGTATCTAAGCCGAACCCCATCCGCATTAGATACACCAACATCTAATGTACGCCGTGAACTCCGTTCTCAATAGCAACGCCAATCATCAAGATAAATAGGTAATAATACAATCAAGAATGCAACTCGTAACGATATTTTCTTTCGTGTGCTACACCTCCACATCTATGCCATAGAATCCTCTGTACGGATCCTCATACTGTGTATTTCTATGTCTGTTGTCCGCTGTATATATTTATCACCATGCATAGCTTGTGGATAAACATGATCAGTCGAACTGTTCGTATCCAAGCTTTGTTTCATATAAGACATTCGACTTTTTCTTCGAGTTGGCAATGAGCTGAGATGACTGTTGTAACTATTGTCGGGACTGCCGTATGATCCAGGATTCTTGCCGCTGACAAATCGATCCCAGTATGGTTTGAGTGGAGGAATACTTCCACAAACGATAATAACAAAAAGTTCCGAACCGCTCCATACGAGCAAATCGTAAGTTTTCCCTGGTTGTTGTTAGTGGTTTGTTGTGTTACTGCCGAGATATATTTGGTAAGCTTACAAGTAAGATCGGAGTGGGCGTTAAGTGAGCCCAAAAATGTTGTTTTGACGATACAACAAACTGCAGCACTGGTATTGTTAGTGCTTATTCTCTCAAATGAAAGGAGGATAACTTACATAAGTCCAAGGCCCAAAAGTATGGTCAAGTTGACACGCTTCTTCATGTCCATGTTGAGATTCATGATGACACTTGCAGGCACAAGTGCGAGTACAATATCTGCGAGGCAATTCTCAGCTAATACACCTCGTTAGCAAGTTTCATTTGGTTGACGTAGACATTGCAATACGAACCTGCAGTAAACATGGCGAATCGAGATTGAACACTAGGATCCCAGCACGTGTGTGGAATACTCGAGTCCCATAACGCTTTAGGCGGGCTGCATTGCACGTAGGTGAAGATACAATCTAGTCCGTTGATCAGAGCAGTGAGCCCCATAGCTCCATAGACAAGCCATTTGCGCCAAGCGGTTGTATCACCACTCATGATTCGGAGAACGAGAAATCCCACTGCAGCTTTTCCAGTGATAAAGGCGAAGACAATGACAACTTGGATTATGTAGTTGAACTTTGCGGCTTTCATTGTTTGCTCTAAATCGAGGTAATATAGATGTCGAAATCCTCCAAGTTTCCATTCATATGTCATGAGACCGCCATATATTATAAAAAGACACTATCATTCAGTTAGAACGATATCATATGAGTCTTGAAAGAGATATACGCACCAAAGTAACAAGCATGACCCAATCATCCCTCCCAAGCCCTTTGATCATGATTCTGGCATAAAATCTTGCCATGACAATCACGAAAGCAAACGCAATCTGTGTCAAGACGATTATAGAAGCCGTTATTCCCCTGTCAACGTCTCCACCTGCTGGTACTTCAGTGCCGGGCATATTGACGAACTGATGTATAGGCTGATATAAACTCGATATGAAACAATTGAGCGTCAAACAGCAGATCATACAAACTTAATCAAAAGCAAACCCAACGATCATAATTCATGATCGATGTTAACGGGATAGATGATCTATTAAACTACTTGAGCATCTTTCTTGGTTGAACCCCCGCAATGATATCGATATCCTATCGTAAGCACTGCCATGGCCTACAGCCGATCCACTTTTGCACTGGCGTCGCATGGCGACAAGGGTGCAAGAAAATCATTTGAAGGATTTTTGCACAATCACTTTCACTGATAAATTCCATTCCTGGAGCCTAGAACCGCGGTAGCAAGCGAATTGAAAGGGGGTTGCAATTGCTGAATTGCTGTGCTGGCAAAGCCGATACACGACATGTCATGTCTACTAGCTCTCTGCAGGCGTTGTTCTTTGCGTTGTTCTCTTGGAGGGAAAAGACATACTTACTATTTAGACTCGGGCCCATGATACTATTGACTTTGTCCTGGAATATTCCGTGCGCCTCAGCTCAGCCGTTGTTACATTGTCAATAAGACTGAATGCGCACGATTGATTCGATAGGTGATTGCTCGTAAATCTACGCAAAGGAGCTACTAAAGCAAGTATAGATAATGCGTGACCAAGAATCCGAAAGAAGAAGCCGAAGCCGAAGAGTGATATCAAGCACGGGGATTGTCCTGTGTTGAGTGTCCTAAATTCCTTCCAAAGTCCTGATCGGATTACGTATTCAAGCATAAATATATATTCCTGGCAATTCAGTGACCGTCGTAACGCTGTGGAAATTATTTCTCACTGTCACAGCTTGATCTGACTGTTCAATACTTTGTAAATACTGCAGTATCACTAGCAATTGCACAAGATTGTGAAAGGATCTTGTTAGGGCTTTGTGCCATGTCCATACATACATACCTAGCATGAAATTCCGACAATAATGTAACCCTAAAATAGAACTGTACGACTCAGCCAATGTCGTGTGAACATCCCCTGTTGCCATGCCTCGCTTCTGTCCACCCATGCAACAGGGCTCCCTAACATGGACCAAATCGAGATTCAAACGTGGGGGCTTCCTAGTATGCAAATTGATCAGAATGTCATAGATGGGAGCTTTCGCATATGGCGCGCCTTCTAGATAGTATCACATCACACTGGGAAATATATAACCTCGTCGGAAATCATCCTAATCAACCTCGTGGGCGCTACAACTTTAGATCGCCGAGAAGCCCGTGGTCAGTGCTTACTGTCACTTACCGTATCCGTCACTTCCCACCAATTTGAATCCGTGCATGGAAGCTTGGACGTGGGCCGCCGTTAGACCTATGACAGGCCAGGCGAGCCAGGGTTGTGGTAACGGTTGCTAACACCCCGCTTAGCAGATGCCAGATGGTTCAAGAAGTCTAATAACCAGATTCCTGGGACATGTAGTAGTTATTGCCTTGTGCATTATGAATGTCTTAGATGGCACACGTTAACTAGCGGTAATGGCACATTGTTGCCGACCAGAAATTTCAAAGATTTGACATCGGCTACAAAGCGCCCAATTTAGCACAGGCTTTAGCGCAAGAACGATATGTGGAGACTTATTTAGTGGAATTCGCGGAGATAATATTATTAGACTATTGTGAAGATTTTGGACGAATGCAATCTCAAAATTGATAAAGGGTCAATTGCAATTTGCAATTGACTCCGCTTAGGTAATTTGAGGCCTAGCTATATTCTCATCACATCTTTATCTAATAACCCTAGATCTGGACCAGACTTTACGAACCCGAGAGCCTCGGAATCAGACTGGAACCGCCACGATTATGCTATCTCCGAGAGAAGCGGTGTATTTGACAATCTTCTTTGCTTGAAGACCGACAGATGCTAAAAGAGCATGCCATTCTCCTTCGGTTCGCTCAGTTGCTGCAAGGACAGTCATCATCGCCAAGTCAAGTTGGGTTGCATGCCAGTGGGCGTCCATCTCGGGGAGAAGCATCTCGTCAATCAAAATAGCTGAATCTGGACCCATTGCATCTTTCAAATGCTTCAAAATGATGCGACATTTCTCATCAGGGTAGTCATGAAGGATGTTGCGCATGTAGTAGTATTTTGCACCTGAAATGTTTGTCAGTATGTAACCACAATTTCACTAGTAGGGTTGCAACAGACCTGTGACTGTTTGAGGCGTGAAAAAGTCATGAACTTCGAGCTCCACATCCTTCATTGGAAGTGCATTCTTGATAGAATGACCAAGCTCCTGCAAAATTATGCGACCGGGGACGTTGGGCTTCTCCATTCTCAACTCCAAACACTTATGACCAACACCACCGCCGACATCAACAAAGACAGGCTCCTTAGGGTTCCAGTCCTTGGTCTCTTCTTCGATTGGATACTTGGAGAGCCAAGTCGGCATCTCACCACGTTGAACTACCATAAAGTCGGCAAAGTAGTTGATTAGTCTAGGCTGTTCCTGAATCCAGTAGAAGTACGGGATTTCGGTTTTGAAGGCGATCTGAGCAGGTGCACAAGTGTCATCTGTGATGTTCCGATATTTTCTCTCGGCAAAATAGTCAGGCGTAGCTTGTAGTGTAGGGCCAATCGCATGAAAGCTGTGAATTTTTATAGTCAGTGATGGATGTGCCGAAAAGTATTCAAGACTGTGAGAAGGGATCACTGACCAGTGGCCAATACCGCCTTTGTAGCCCTTTTGAGCCAAAGCTTCGGTAACCTTGCTGGCCTCAAAAGTGTTTTTGCCAGTCTCTCGAATCATTCGTACAGAGGCAAGATATCGGAGCAAGCGAACTAGTTATGTTGTGAGAAGGGGTCGAATTCGAAGCGGAGGATCAAACTCACCTAAGAAGGCCGGATCTGACTCCGTTTCTTTTGCTAGCTGCTCAACAGTCATTGGCTCCTTCTTCGCGACCATGATCTCAAAGAGCTTCATATCACAACCAATCTGAGCGCCTGTCAATTGAAATTGCTAATACAGTTTGAGTTAGCAAAAGTCACGTTCAATCTTGTGATTTGAATCAAAATAGCACAAACCAGATACATGATACGCTGCATAGAGTCCCATGGTGTCTCCAATTCGATAGAAAGATCTCTAAGATCGTCAATTATCTTCTTTCGTCCTGCTTCATCAGCATTTGCAGCGGCGGCCTTCACGTGAGTGATAAGATCATCCATTTTTGATGTTAGAGTTCCTGTTGAAGTTCAAGTTGTTTTAGGTTTGGTTGTGTAGTAAAGAATCTTGTTGGGAAGAATGTTTGCAGACTGCTATATTGGGTTGTTTATGGGGGGGCTTTTATAAGCACATGAGGATAAAAAAAGTCGTAAGCCAGCCTACTGTTCCTTCAGAATACATGTGAATGTTATCTCAAAACAAAGCATAACTGACGCTTTTACATGGTTTGCAGCCAGTGAATGTTTAACCAACCGCCGCAGTGCGGCTTTTGTGGATCAACGAGATATCAGTGGGAATGGTGACGGATTTGCTTGATAGAATATTCAGATTCAATACATCTGCTATTAGTTCACCGCACATAGGGAATCACCCCATCCTCTTTCGATACCCCCCTTTTGTAACACAACACTTTGAAACCCTTCTTCTCTGCTACCAAGTTAGATAAGTCTCCTGATACTATAATACAAGAGCTTGCACCAGAATCACAAAGCCCATGGTAATTCCAAACAAGCAGACCATCTACCTAGATACTGTCAAGCGTAGTGATAGTTCCGAATTCAAACTGACAAGATTTTCCGCCATCAGATCTGTAAGCAGGATCTAGATTCGACATGGCCTTTTGAATTCATTCAAAGGTTCAGATGTACAAAACATATACGATGCCCAAACTTCAGGGTTGCATTATTATTGGTGCTCGCAGCAGTAGGTAAGGGCTTCAGCCGAATGAGTGAACTGCAGGAGACCCATGTCAGGTGAGTTACACAAATTTTCAGCCTCAGGGAGGGACATGTATTCGGCTTTTCGATGATACTACGCTATGGTTTACCCCGGAATAGGATTTCTTATTGAAACTCTTTTCTCGCTTGCCCGTGGTTCGAGCTTGGTACCGGTTCTATAGGTGACAGTACGGTGAGATTCCCAGAGCGAGCAAATCTCTCCGCAGGATCTATTGCGAATACAACGGTAGTCTTCGATGTACGATGAGTGTGATGTCAATTGCCACATGGGAGATGTACAAACATGATGCGCATGTTCTTTGAACAGGATCCGCACCTGCAAAACCAGTGGTTCACAGACGGCAAGTGGTAACTCAATAAACGGGAAGCAGCCCTCCAACCGAGCAATTGCGAGTAGCTGATTGCGCATTTTTAGACAGTAGTTGTGAATGTCGTCTTTGTTTTCTCATCCTTGGGCTGACTTAACAAGGCCTGTACACCAGGATCAACAATAGAATCTCCGCTAATCTATAGTACTATCCGGAGTTCTTGCGTCTGATGGATTTGAGTCGTACCGTTTGTTTGGGCAGAATGACTGGGGTCAACCATCTTCGATCTCACAAGAAATGTAAATAATTTTCATCAAATCGCTCTGTCGTGAACGTAAAATCGACCAATTTAGATAAGTGATGAATTCAAAAAGAACCAATCACTCCCGTGATCTATGATTCTCATCAAGTCAATAATGTAATGGGTATCGCAAATAGCCAAAACTTCCCTCCCACATACCGCCGTAGTGTTTCGCCGTGTGGTATTCGTCTCTCGGTGGCAGGTTTATCGGATTGATAAACCCTCCATTGTTTGCTCAACGGCATTTTCCTCGCTTTGAACTACCCCTTTTTCACCTCGCCCATCCATTTCCCCATTGCCTTTGATCCCTCGTGTGCCGCCTTGAATAATCCGCGTTCCGCCTCATCCAAACCTCTTAAGAACTCCACGCCTTCTCCTCCGCCTCTGCCATTACTCTGTCCTACACTTCCACTCCCAGCATGGTCACTGATTTCACCAGCTCTTGTCCTCCAGCTCTCCATCAATACGTCGCAGACCTCTTCCTCTTCGAATAACTCCAAAACTCTCACACCCAATCCATAGAAATTCTGTGCCAGATTGCGTAAGTCGACACTCTTAGGGTCAGCTTTCAATGCATTGAGAACGCGCGGCGCAAGACAAGCAGGTAGATCAAGGGTAACGAGAGACTTTTGAGAAGATGGAGATGAGGAAACGGCAAGTAGTTCGGCGAGCCATAGAGGAAGATCGACGCGTGTGTGCTTCTTTAAGGGGGTAGCGGCGTTGTTGTCGAGATATCCTAAAGAGGGAACATCAAGCTCGAATGTGCATGGGATTTTCTGACATATATTAATACAATGAATTTGATTGGAAGGAGGGGTAAATACTTGGGCGTCGGTGAGGATCGCGTCAATATCGTAGTAGGACATTCTCAAAAGCCACAGGTTTGCGGCAAATAGCTTAAGCTTCACCTAACCCGCATAACATCATAACTTTTAATTTTCAAGGATTTGTTGGGCGAAAGAGTGCGCGACGATGAACTTGTTTGATATCGGCTCCGTGCCATTATTTGCGTTCTCATCGCTTATGTAATCGCGTAATGACATAATGATGTTGGAGCTCCAAATATTTACTTCCGGAGCTTCCCCTCTTTGAAAGACGTCCGATTGACATCTGAAAGCCACATCAATAATTGAACCAAGACCGCTTCAAACGTTCAAATAAAATTCAAAATGTCCACCACACTTCTTCGCACATCTACTGCAGCTCGTGCTGCTCTTAGAGCCAGCTCTTCCAAACGAGCTGCCTCAATGGCAAGCACAAGCTTCATCCGTGGAAAGGCTACTCTTCCAGATCTTCCATGTCAGTTTCTTCCATACCTAGATTAAGCAGCTCCGATATCTCATTACATGTTCTGACTTTGGTTACAGATGACTATGGTGCGCTCGAACCCTCGATCTCCGGTAAGATCATGGAGCTTCATCACAAGAACCATCACCAAACCTACGTTAACAGCTTCAACGCTGCGAGCGAGCAAGTCGAGGCCGCTACATCCAAGGGAGATATTGCTGCTGCTATTGCACTACAACCTCTCATCAACTTCCACGGAGGTGGACATGTGAACCATAGTTTGTTCTGGGAGAATTTGGCACCAAGTAAGAATGGTGGTGGTGGAGAGCCCACCGGCGCTTTGAAGGTATGAATCGATGTTCGCTATGAAAATTTGTAGCTTTATTAGATTCGAAGAGTATCGGCTAACAAGAGCTTATATAGACTGCCATTGAGACCAGCTACAAAGATTTCTCATCTTTCAAGACAAAATTCAACGCGGCTTTGGCAGGCATCCAAGGAAGTGGATGGGCGTGGTTAGTCAAGGACAACGAGACTGGTCAAGTCCAAATCAGAACATATGCAAACCAGGATCCAGTCGTTGGCAAGTACACTCCTTTATTGGGTATTGATGCTTGGGAGCATGCCTACTATCTTCAATACCAAAACAGAAAGGCAGAGTACTTCAGTGCTATTTGGGATGTAATTAACTGGAAGACTGTGGAAAGCAGATTGAAGTGAATTGGAGACGAGGGAGCCAAACATTAGATACCTATGTAGTCGTTAAGCGTAAAATGAATGTATGATCAGTTCAAGCGTTGTATTCAGGATTTCTGAGAATCTAGGGGAATGTTCGTCCATAAACACACATTTTCACAAGCACATGGTAATTCATAATTAAGGTTGCAATGCTATTAATGTTTTCTTGAAACATCCCTCCTTCATAGCCTATTAAACCGCTATCACACCCTACCCTTTCCAGTGGGTAACATAATGGCAAACAATCATGATCTATCATACACAGCTTCGAAGACAATATTCTGAAATCCAAGTACCACATATCATCTTTCAAAACATGCCTCATAACTCTTCACGTAATACCTTTCCTCCATTCACACTCCTCGACCCTCCCTCAAACTGGATACCTTCAACTCTCAAGGCAGAAGGTAGGTGTATAAAGATACTAAAACGATAGTCGAAGTTATCATCCGAATTTCTTATGAGTATAACGCAATGCTCTCGCTTGTGAGCGGTTAGAGTTGGTGCTATTGGTGAAAGAAACACAACGAGGGCCGGTGAGTGTCGAGGCGATCAATCGAAGTTCGACAAATCCCTTCTGCCAAACCAGACTCCTGGCTCGCTCTTTTCTTCTTGATGGCATTTGCAACAGGTACGACGTTTCCAAGCAGTTGTCTTACGAATGCGTTGATTTGATGTCTGCTATTTCAAGCTCATCGGGCGGATAACGATTGATGATGGGATCTCAATTGGAGTTCTCCTAGCGTGCTTTCCAGAAAGGTGAGTCTGATTCGGTATTCTCATCCATAATATTAATCCAAAGCTTTCTCTAAATCCAAGAAGATTTCTTCCACTGCCCCAAGCGGAACTAGAAAGCGCTCATGCACCCCCCTCACGAATGGGAATGCCAATATTTGGCTCCTTGAGGATTCGAGTTATATCCGAAAAGCTGCATACTATGCCTCTCATGAGAATTACTTCGATCAATAAGACAAAGATTGAAGCAATATCGTAAAATTCTTTTGCGTCCATTGTGTTCCATTTCGAGTAGAAAGTTGTTGCAGAGTAGAAGATCTCACAGCATTTTTAAAACGATAAGCTCGTAGCTATTACTGTAAAATTAATTTACTCCTTCTGGCGACTTCTTCCGCGCTCTGTAGATCTCTACATAAATATTAGCCTGAGCTTGTGAAGAGTCCAATGGACCTCAAGTGAGGAGGAATACTCACGTCATGTGATTTGGAATCATGTGAGTAATTGGTGACACCTTCTTCCGCCATGTATCGATTCTCTTCATACAACATGTTTAATGGTGTCCCGTCGAAAGTCAAATCAGAGTCGTCGATACTATATGGTAGTCTCCATGCTTCAGCTTGAAGATCGAATTTGGTGTTTTCATCATCGAATGCCGTAACATTTGTGATCAAGAAGTATTGTTTGACTTCAGCAGAGGTATTGCTTGCATCGTTGCCCGACATGATGAATTATTAAAGATGTAAAGTAAGTCTCAGGTTTTGATATTGACCTGGGTGAGCTTATTTGCAGTAGGCAGTAGATATAAGTCAGAGATAAGGCTGATATGGTTTTATGTTTAGTTAAAGATGTGTTGGCAGTGTTGAGTTGTTGATTCAAATGTGCAACATTAGACATCAACAACAAGATAGTTAGAATGCGGCGATACCCAACACTTATATATATATATACATATCATACATAGGAAACTAGGTATCCGATGATGCCTCTCATATCGGGCAGTTCACCGGACTCTTACTCGCCGGATCGAGAAGGCCAGATGATAATCTTTAAAGTTTAGGTCCGACCGAAAATCTAGGCAATTCCCCGACACAACTTGGATTTGTCAATGCGGGTGTGACCTGACTTGGAAACAATCATGGAGATGCATTTACTCAAAAGCTAAATGGGTGGAATATCATGTTCCTGACTTGTCACGACGCGCCGTCGGTTCAGGTTTTGGTAGAGGCTTAGAGGTTGTGCGACGGAAAAGCACCGCCGAAGGTTAGAACATGACTCAGCTTAGTAAAACCACCACCAGCATACCAGCGAGACCAGGAAACGTTTGGATACTTTGTTCGAAGCACAAACCAAACAACACCAAGACACAATTTCACTGGGGGAAAAAACGACCTTTACCCGAAACTCTGTCTCTTTTATCTTCCAACAACATGTGATGATAAGAAAGAATCCGAGAGGCCTACCTGATACTCGAGACATGATTCTCGGGTTACACCTCCGACTCAATTAACCGACCTACCTCGAAGTTGGGAACCAGGGGACTCAGCAGAGACAGCTGATATTGTGACGATACATTATGACCTTCAAACTACCTTCTCTTACCGCCAAAACCGCTGAATTCGAAATACAAATCATTAATTTGTAAGAATGTAGCAATATGCACTCCGCCATTATATTCAACTCGGCAACAGATACATCAACAAAGTCTCCATATGGTCAAATCAACTTCCTTGCTACTCCTCCCCGCCCTCCATTCGGGCAATAAAATCTCATCGCTTACCCCGCCGCGATATATCGATCTTCTCTTTCTGGGGAAGTTGAACCAAGTTCAGCTGCCAATAATACATAGCCTCTGACAATATCCGATGGTGGTCAGCCTCATGAAGTATATAATACAATTAGAAATATATCCCGCAGATCGCGCGAGATCAGGTTAGTATAACACTTCCCATCAACTATTGAAATTTGGTTCGTGAAACATACGGCTTTTGAAACGGCGATTCATTAATGTCAGAGTCGTCTCTCATTGCCTAAGATCAAACTTTTTCACTCGTTATTCTCTGTTTGGTAGAGTCAAATTCCTCCTTGGGGAAGTCCCTTCGGTCCGTCTCATTATAGCCCGGCCAAGCATGCAGGCAACCAATTAACAAAAAGTACTCGCAAGAACAGCGCCTCTTCACATGCACCCCATAAAATCGATTTTGATTATATTTCCGAAGCTTATCCCTGCACTCACACTCTACATGCTTATCGTTGCATTTGCTTTCTCATCTGCATTCTGATTGCGTACATTATTTTTCGTGGCAAGACTACATCTTCATGACTGTGAAGTTTGCCTGTACATGCGGCAAATCCTGTCATCATATTATGAACGCTAATGATTACTGTTTGCCATAATTGTCATGCCCGTGGCGTTCGAGTAACGAACACACATGATTCACACTTCCTTCTTCACCACTCATGCGATAATGATTACAAAGATGATTTTGTGAAGAAAGCAAGTGTACGATGCTTGTCCATGGTTCTTCTTAGTATCATAACAAGTTATACATGAATTATGCATATAGGGCTGAGCTAGACTTCAGGTTTAGGCTTTGAGTTCCGCGGCTTTACCGCAATCATCATCTGACTTTCTTGTTTCACTGTTGCTCACGTTCAAGCAATCAAAAGTTTGGAATCATTTTCTGACGTTGACTCCGCTTTTCAAAAATCATCACACCACACTGTGTCACTGCGAATTCGTAACTCTTACTTTGGATTCACATGACAACGTTTGTTACTAGCCACAAAAACTGACAATTACGTCATTGTGGTTCCGTACAACTTTATTGTCACGAACGAGGAGAGCTTGAGTCGAAGATTTTAGTAATGATACTTAGCTTCAAGATCCAAAACGGTAAATCAGTTGGGTCTTCTCCATGGTGTTTTTTCTTTGGTTTCTATACATCATTTCTAATAGGAAAAAACATTTTTTGATTCACGAAACCTCATATTGACTTGAATAGCTAACCCCGTTGAAAGCTTGGGGAAAGCCTCTACTAACTCAACAGAATACACTTACCCTGACTCAGAGCTTTGAAACATGTTTGGCGTCTGCTTCTCCTTTTGAGCCAATCAAATTTTGCTTCCCGCGTTTGTTTCGCAATGGTTCCTGCGTGCTCAATATTAAGGCAGGTGGTACATTTCACCCTTGGGTTCTCTACCAGGAATTCGAATCGCTTCGCAATTGTCTCATGTGCATTGGATAAGTGCACAACTTAAATCTTTTGAGTTGTGTAACTGCTTGTGTCTCTCAGATAGTGTACGCACGGCGAAGTTATGCTGAGGAAATTCGATGGCCATGTCCAACGGAAATCCGCATTCTAGATATTCAATCGAACCATTCAACCCCCTCTTAATTTCTTTTTTTATTTATAGATTATATAGAGTACAACTCTTGAAATTCTAATTCTTAAAACTTCCAATCGGAACCACTTTTTAGTATTTCCCGGTCTATTTAAAGTCTCCTGCCTCGATTTAGACTTTTACCCCCCATTTAGAGTTTTCTCCCCTTCCTTTAACCTTTTCCCAACGCGTCACTATCAATGATCGTCACCACCTGTATATTGAAAATCACGGCACAAAGTGTCTAGAAAAATTGAGATAGCTGAAAGCTTTGAAGATAGAATGCCACCCTGCATAATACGAGCTGCACTATTGTGGATGGTGTTGATCTTGATATGATTTTCAGATGGCATGATCAGTATCTCCCTACTGGTAGAGTCATTAGACATTGTCGTTAATCTGGATGAGAAGGTCATCTATGCAGAGAGCTCGAGTTTGAACATCCCGACCCGTGGATGAGCTCTGAGTATACATGTATGTCGTTTAGATTTTGGAAGATATCTTGATTATCAGAGCGTTAAGTGAAGATGGCTGATGGTTGGTAAGATAGCGTTGATTTGTACTGTGTTGATTATGAATGTGGAAGATGGTGGGATACTGAATATTTGATATTGAAGACTCGGAGGGAAAAAAGACGGGCTAAATCTTGAATACCTTTGTGAAGACAAGGACTACTAATAAAGAGAATAGACCACCTCCCTGCAACCCCTTGATATTCTCCAAAAAGAAGTACAGAGAGTCGTAAAGAACATTGATGAAGTGTGAAAAGTATTGATATTCGTTTCCTGTGTATGATCCCTACGATCTACTTCTTCACAATTTCGATCTCAAGATAACATAACCTGGCTACCTTTACCTTGATCTCGCTACTTTTCTTCTCCTTCGCCTATCCTACCATGTCCTTCCACTTGATCAAAGTGGGAATTCCCACTCAACTAAACAAAAAGATGCCCAGTTTCTACGCCGGCTGAACACAGTCCGGAATTCCATATTTGAGCCCATTTTCACTAGCAAAGGAACCGGAGTCAACGCACTCGAGGTAGCTATGGAAGACCGACATCGACGACATCTTTCTTCTTGATATAAAGCCGACGAACTATTATATCTTGATATTTAATCCCGATAATGAAGATATGGTCGCCATGTGCCGTATGAACTTGGACAAGATAAACAGTCCGTTTATACTGCCCCGACAAACGATGAAGATAATGACTCTTTCTGAGGATGAGAAATCGATCAGCGGCCTGAAAGTTCAGACAGCCAGCAATCTGCAATAAAGGCTCTGGAACAGATTGGAGAACTCAAGATGAAAAGATGGAAGAGACCGAATTGGAGGGTCCAAGATGATACCTTTCTAAGAATCTACTCCACTGAAAATAGTTCTGATCCTGTAAAACTGCTCACAATACAGGCACCAACAGCTATTAATCAATGAGCTTGTTCTCAGGGACATTGAGACATATTTCTCTCGTCGTGAAAATAACACTATTCTCGATCCTTCCTCTCCACCATCCTCACAGATCAGGACTACTGGGAAAAGAACATATGCTCTTCTAATACGAGTAAACCACGTTTACTCCCTATCATTGTTTCTCTACCAGCCAATCCGGTATTTACGAAAACATCACTTCTTGCCACCACCCAACTCAAAACCCCACCGATTTCGGTGCATTCCAAACCAAAAGCATCGCACATATCACGACAAATTTTATTTTCTTGAGAAAAATTACTTGTCAACAACACACAATTTTCCAAAATTGGCTGAAATTCCCAAGTTTTCATCCAAAAGAGAAGATATCAGCGCAATGCTGGCCTGGCTCAGAAGCACAGTATTGCCCCGATCTTGAGCATCAAACTCGTCATAGCTTAAAGCCACAGGGTATCTTTATGTAAACCACTAGGTTACTAATTTTGGTAGTAATAGAAATGAGGGAAATGCCATAGTATCATTTGCGCCATTAAGCAATGAGAAAGATGAGCAGTATGATGTATTCATATGTCAATTATATGAGGTATTTGACATAAGAAAATTGAGATATGCAACATATTGATAATTGTTTCGACTAGTAGTGGTCGTTGAATTGGAATGGGTTAGTAGTTGACGTGAAGTCAAAGTGGTTATCGTTAGTGGCCGGAGATTCCGGCACAGGGAAGAAGAAAAAGGATCTGTCATGATAGGAAAGAATTCTCGAACAAAGTGGCATTGAGTAAGTGTATATACAAAATGAAGAGGAGTTACATGCCTGCGTGCCATTCCCTAAATTCCATGTCCTAATCGCTCGCCAATATTTACAAATTGTTCCACGCCATTTCCATTAAAGACTGATCGCCTATGATATCATCGTTCGCTGTCTTCATTTCGCTCATGTTGCGATACCCCATACTGTCAGACGGTATGATATAACTCAGGCCGAGGCCACAATAGCCTCCACTCCCGCCGGAATAACCCTCGCTCTTCCAACTCCATGAACAAGCACAGCATCTAACCAAATTCTTTCTTTAACTTCTCCAGGTTTCTCTACTCCCCAACCCCTCTCAGGGCCCCACCCCACAACTTTCTTATGTCTTTCTACGACCTCTCGTAATCCATTCATCATA